TCTGGTGAGGCTCTTTCTCCGCAGGGAGTTTACGACCTGCATTGCCAGGAATTGGCCCAGCTGCAAAGATCCTCAATGAAATTATTCAAAGATAAGCTCATGATTCTCGCGCTCTCCAATATGGGCTCGATTGCGCAGCGAGTGGATCTAGAGGGACAGCTATCTGCTCTAGACGAGTCGGAACTCCAGAGCCTTTGCTCTCACCTAGGATTCCGAACAAGCTACCCAAAATCCTCGGACGTCACTCTAGACCGTCAGTTTTATCTGGAAGTTTTGGCATCTTTTTATGAACGCAAGGTGCCTTTCCAAGAAGCTGTCGAGAAGTTGAGTCCACTTCCGACGGAGGAAACCCTCTATGACCCGGCCTTGTTGAGGAATGAGACATACGACGGATCGAGGCCTCTGGCAATCCCAAAGTTGAATCTCCAGTATCTGAGTCTCGGAGATTTCCTTTATCGCTCCTTCCTTCTCTACCGATCAGAAGCATTTTTCCAAATCCGCAAGGACCTGGAGTCCCTCGTTAAACGCATGCAGCCGAAGGCAGCACGCGATGGAACCTTAAATTTTGAGGGATTCTCTCGAATGGCCATCCCGATTTCAAAGCCTGCTATTATTGATGTCGCACCACCCAAGGTCGGGGCAACAAATCCGGCTTTTGTTCGAGCTGAGATCGCGATAGAGGTAGGAAGGCTTGCAGATAATGTTAGAAGAGAGTGGGACACACTCCGACCTGATGACGTCGTTTATCTTCTGGCCGTCCAGTCCAGCTCGTCACAGTCGGAACAAGGTGCACCTGAAGCCCCTCGGATGACCCATCTTCGAACGGCCGAGATTGTACAAGTACTTGACGAGCAAGGCCGCGCATTGCGACAACATTCTGGCCAGGCAAATGGCTCTCATCCTAGGGCACGATCGAGGAGATTAATTGTCAACTTGGATGCGGCTGCATTCAAAGCCGACAAGGACCAGCAGGCCCACGGCAAACCAGACATTTACCCCCTCATTAACGTGATTGCACGGAGAAAGGGCAGAGAGAATAACTTCAAGTCAATCCTGCAGACGATGCAAAAGCTTATTGTCTCTGATATGACTCTTCCTTCCTGGCTCCAGGACATCTTCCTGGGCTATGGAGATCCCGCTAGTGCTCAATACACACAGCTGCCAAACCGACTTAGTACTGTTGACTTTAGAGACACCCTTTTGGACTGGTCCCATTTAGTGGAAAGCTTCCCGGGCATTGAACCTTCGGGGGCTGAGAATGCTAGCTTTGGTCCACCCTACGTTCTTGAATATGTTAACCAAGAGCCTGCAGAAGAGCCCCACGCGCCGAAGAAGCGACGCCGGGAAAAAGCTGCAGCGACAGACTTGGCGCCTAGCAATATGCGTGTTTCTACATACAAGCCACCAAACCCTGGCCCCTACCCCGTCGACACCCCCAAATTGAACAAAATCCGATTCACACCCGCCCAAGTGGAAGCCATAGCATCTGGAACACAGCCTGGACTTACCGTCATCGTGGGACCGCCTGGTACTGGAAAGACTGATGTCACCACTCAAATAATTAACAACATTTACCACAACTTCCCCAACGAACGGACGCTACTCATTGCACACAGCAACCAAGCCCTCAATCAATTATTCCAGAAAATCATCGCCCTTGACATTGATGAACGGCACTTGTTGCGACTGGGTCACGGCGAGGAAGAATTGGACACTGATTCCAACTACAGCAAGTATGGACGAGTCGAATCCTTCCTTGACAACCGTAATCACTATTTATCAGAAGTGATGCGCTTGGCAGCATCGCTTGGGGTCGAGGGTGCGCATGGAAACTCATGCGAGACTGCAGGCTACTTCAATACAGTTTACGTGCAGCCAACATGGGCCAAATTCTGGGATCGAGCCAACTCCGAAGGAATATCAAATGAAGAGATTGTTACATCCTTCCCGTTCCAATCATACTTCGCAAATGCCCCCCAGCCCATATTTGAAGCTGAAGCCTCGAAGGAGGCGATCATCGATACTGCTGCAGGTTGCGAACGCCACATTGCCCGAATCTTCTCTGAGTTGGAAGACATCCGGCCCTTCGAGATCCTAAGACAACCTCGCGACAAAGCGAACTATCTCCTCATAAAGGAGGCCCGAATTATCGCGATGACCTCGACTCATGCAGCTATGCGCCGGCAAGAAATTGCCGATCTAGGATTCCACTACGACAACGTGGTCATGGAAGAAGCCGCGCAGATTACTGAAGTTGAGAGTTTCATTCCCAACGCTCTGCAAAATACGAAAAACGGCGAACTTCCTCTCAAGCGTGTTGTTCTCTGTGGTGATCACCACCAGAATTCACCCATCATTCAGAATATGGGTTTCCGTCAATATGCCCATTTCGAGCAAAGTCTCTTCTTGCGACTGGCGCGGTTGGGTGTCCCAGTGATCAACTTGGATAAGCAGGGACGCGCACGACCTAGCATTGCAGAGCTCTTCCGCTGGCGGTACAAGGAACTCGGGGATCTTCCAGTGGTTGAAAGTGCCCCCGAGTACCAGCAGGCCAATGCTGGTTTCCAGTTCGACTACCAATTTATCAATGTGCCCGACTACCAGGGCTCTGGAGAGCGGGAGCCAACACCCCACTTTATCCAGAATTTGGGCGAAGCGGAGTACGCAGTGGCCATGTATCAGTACATGCGACTCTTGGGCTACCCTGCTTCTAAAATTTCGATCTTAGCCACATATGCTGGGCAAACCGCTCTGATTCGGGATGTATTGAGTCACCGCTGTGGAAAGAACCCTATGTTTGGAATGCCCAAGATTGTGACGACGGTGGATCGCTACCAGGGAGAGCAGAATGATTGTGAGTTGACTTCCCCCAGAAGCATATTCACATCACTCGGAATATTGGAATTGCTAATACTTTTCTAGACGTCATCCTTTCTCTCACCCGAACCCGCAGCGTCGGATATCTACGCGACGTCCGCCGTTTGACTGTAGCTCTCTCGCGCGCACGATTGGGTCTGTATATCCTCGGCCGACGGGAAGTCTTCGAATCGTGCTACGAACTTAAACCCGCATTCGACCTTCTTCTGCAACGACCGGATAAGCTCATGCTTGCTCCTGGCGAGATGTTCCCTTCGTCGCGGGAAGCTAACGCCACCATTGAGGGTACGCCAATGGAGAGTGTTGAGCACCTTGGACAATATGTCTTCGAGATGACGCAGGCCAAGATTAAGGCTATGGGTGATGGGGATATCACCATTGAGGATGCGGCACCGGCTGGTGAAGATGACTATTTGGATGAGGATGAGGCTATGGGGGCTGATGATGATGGGGATGAAGATCTTGTATGAATTGTTTCATAAGTTAAATGGTAACAGCAGCGCTCAATAAAGGAGTTTGTTGAGACCACCTCACTTTCTCGGCTTCTTTTGTACTCTGGGGGGCGTCTCCAATGAGTAGTTCAATTTACAGATTAAATGGTTAGCTACTGCATAGTAACACGCAATGAGCTTGCGTAAGATTTCTGGTCTCAAGCAGAGTGGTATCATTTGGGGATATGAACAGACTTGTTGTCTTCTATAATTCTGACGACTCGGATTTGCTGCTGCAATGCCGACTGATCTTTTCTCCGGATGTCTTTCTCAATGGCTTGAAGTACATAGAATGTAAGACTTGGGACCAAAACGCTCCGGTCTCATCGTAATACCCAATTTCGTTCTTATTGGCCCTTGTGCTTGTTCATTTCCTCCACAATGTTATTAGGATCCTTCCAAGCCTGGGCTACGTACCTAAGCGACATTAGCAGTTTACAATCGGAAATAAGATAAGATACACACTTTGTGTGGCTCCCGCGGGCAAAGACATGTCCGTCGGGGTTCGTGAACTTGATGTTCGTGAAAGCAAGGGTCTTGCCAACTAAGCGCGGCTAGTTAGTTGATGGCCATTATCAAGTAGAAGAGGGAGGGGGTGTGACGAAGAAGTCAAGTAGTATACATTTATCACAAGTCACCTCCTAACGTCAAAGTTAGTACCCGTTTAGTAGGATTGAGAGACTGATCGGGATAGATGGAGAAAGACATACGGCCATGATTCGGTCACCAACTCTGCCACCTGAGTTCAAATATGTGACTTGAGAGGATTTATTAGAAACAGAGAAGATAGGTGGGATGCATGCCTATTTCATAAACGTACCATTCAGGTCCGTTGAGACGCCCGTCGAGAACAAGCCGCGAGATGCCACAGCCAACGAGCCTCCGAGATCGACTAGAGCATATTTTAGCCAAGCATCACAACTTTGGGATCACATGCAAGGATCTCTTACCCATGCTTGCAATAGTGCCTCCATGGAGGATATTCAGGCGGTTCTGAAAGTGTCAGAGGCATTCCATGTGAGAAGTTGAGTCCCGAGAAAAATTCCCAGAGACATGCGCTAGAGAGACTGCAGCACATCGAGACATACTGTATGCTCCTTCTGAATATCCAGCTCAAAGTTCACTACACCGGGCCTGGCGGCTGTAATACGGAGCTATAGTAGAGGTCAGTGATAAGTTCAATGTAACCTTTGGGAAACTGGCGCATACTCACATTACTCAACAGCCTTTAATCGAATTGAAGTGGGATGTTAGTTCTTCTCTGATATCTCAAAGGTAGAGGCAAGTTGGGACGAATTCCATACCGAGGCTCCAGACCCGAGGTAGCTCGGAAGGACTCCCACACCTATAGATAGATATGCATTAACAAGAGTGAATGATAGGTAGTGAAGGTTGAAAAATTACCGAGCGAACAAATCTCAGAGAAGCCATTTCTCAGAAGTGATAAATGGGCTGGATATGGAAAGAAATGATACAGGGAGGGTCAACAAGTCCAGTACTTGACTCGGGGGCATCCCGGAGCTGCACTTATGGCCGCTTCGGCCACCGTACTAGCGTCATTTCATTCAACAACTTCACATAGGCACCTTATTCTCTTCAGTTGCCTGGGAATTTGGTTTCTCACAGCTCACTATGGCGAGTGCAACATCCCGTCCTCTGGAGTACCTGGAGGGACTCCCCGGGACGACTTTCTATAAGCTATACCAACAACCATCCACAGCCCTTGCGATCTTCCGGCGCATGCTGCCCGATCTGGGTACATTAAGCTTACTCACACGGAAGGGAACGTTGTGCTAACACTGAATATAGCAAAATGCTTTGTGATGGCTCTACTCTATCTGAAAGACCCTCTCCCAACTGCTGATCTGGAAGTTTGGGTCAACGCAGAGAGCAAGAAGTGAGTGGCTTATCTGACAGGTCTTGCTCTAGCCATTACTGACAGTGTTCACACAAGGGAACGAGATAATGCGCTTTCAATATTGGGTCGACTTCACATTCTTTCTACGACCCTCACAGGTGAAAACGTCCGTGCGTACATGGTCACCAACCCGTTCGCTGCTTCGCTTCGACAAGCTCTGATGGGTGCCGAGGACTCTCATTCTTTCGGTGTATTCTCCCAAGCTCCAGAACAAACCCCAACCTCGATTGCCGATTTGGATGAATATGCTAGACGACAGTGGGAAGGTGTTATGGGATACATGGTTGGAACGAGTGCCTTGATGAGTGGACAGCGTGACACGGTCAATTTGAGCAAGGGTGTCAAACAGCTTCTCCAAGCGGGACACTTGGTTGAGATCCGAGGTAACCGTGTCGATATCACCAAAGACGGGTTCGGATTTGTGCTTCAGGATGTGAATACCCAGGTCTGGCATATCTTGATTCTGTATGTCGAGAGCGCCGAGGCCATCGGCATGGATAGCGTCGAGGTTCTCTCGTTCCTATTCCTCCTGAGCAGTCTAGAACTCGGATCTTCTTACGACAAGAGCCACATGACACCCAACCAACTTCGCACTCTCGCGGACCTGGCTGATTTTGGTATTGTCTACCAGGAAGATGCCGACGCAACACGCTTTTATCCCACCCGTCTGGCAACTACACTTACATCCGACTCGAGCGCTCTGAGCAATCCTGTCACAGGATCCCTCACTGGGCCAGTGGGGCCGTCTGGTGGTTCTAGCTCCGGTTTCATCATCATCGAAACTAACTATCGGCTCTACGCCTACACCTCATCACCCCTACAAATATCTCTCATCTCCCTTTTCACAAACCTCAAATACCGCTTCCCCAATCTGGTCACTGGCAAAATCACCAGGCAGTCTGTCCGCCGAGCAATCGAGATGGGAATCACGGCCGATCAAATTATCTCTTACCTATTATCGCACGCGCACCCACAGCTGCGGAAACACAGCGCTGCTCAATCCAACGGCAAGGGTGTCCCGGCATCTGTGCTCCCGCCTACTGTGACAGATCAGATCAGATTATGGCAGTTGGAGCGGGACCGTCTCCGGGCTACGGCGGGCTTTTTGTTCAAGGATTTCACCAGCTTGACTGAATACCAGGCTCCCTGCCAGTATGCCGCGGAGATTGGCGTGCTGGTTTGGAAGTCAGATCGGAAGCGCATGTTTTTTGTCACAAGACATGAGCAGGTGGCTGCATTTTTGCGGAGTCAAAAGGTAGGCGGGAAGTAATACAGTATGCAAGGCATAAGACTTCAGTCATTATGAATTTGGAACAGTAGGAAACGGGATTTTTGGGGTATTATGGATACTGAAAAGCATGTTACGAAATCACGACCCACGGCTGATATAAACTTTGTACAATAAACAATGAAAGATGATGATCAAAATGGAGCATATCGCGCCCCCTATATACCGATCTTCTGCTTAAAAGTCACCCACTCGCCTCCCCCAGCCCTCTTCCGATAGCTAACATAAGTATTCCCAGCAACATCATCCGGCAGGAGAACTCTAACATCTGAGACTCTTGCCTCGGCTGGCACCTTCGGTACAAGCAAATCCTCTTCCCCAGGCAGAATATGTCCAACAGACGAATTGACGCAGACATCGCCAGCATAAAAGTCCCCCTCTTCAACCTTAATAATCTCCTCCAAAACATCCGCCAAAATCGAGCCATTCCAAACCCCCTCTCGATGCGGCGCAGCCCTCAATGCCCTCATAGCCTGGCGCCGGATCCGCGGAACACGGCACTTAAGAGCCGTGTAGTATACAGGCGGGATGTACCCCATCTCAACGGTGAACCCACTCTTACCACAGTCTGGTGCTTGGAGGAAGTGGTTGACTGTAGACGCCTTTTCGAGGAGCTCTAGTAGAGAAGTTTCCAGAATCATGTTCATGTCGGACATCGTCTTGAAATTGTGAAAGATGGCTTTCAGGTCGTCGGGTCCGGTGGCTAGTTTAGAGAGATCTTCTTCGCTGAAGGCTGCTGTTGTCCAGCTTTTCCATATATCGACAAAGCCAGTCATTATCCTGATAAAGTTATCGGTGTATGTGTCAAATATCAGCTCTGATTCGGTTTCTTCTGGTGAGAGGCAGACTGAGGCCATTATTGTGGCCATTTCGTGGTGCAACCGTAGGAGGAGATAGCTGGTTTGGTCTCTTTCTGATATTTTGTTGGATTCGAGCCGTGCGACTGAGACATTGTATGTTTTACGCCAAAGGGATAGGTCTGAAATGATTATGCTCTGTGTATTGAGCATTTGTTGGTCGCTAGTTGGTGTCTGGGATGCGTAGTAGTCGTGGTAATGCTTTTTTAGACAGTGTATTCTGTTCAAGAGGTCGTCTAGGCTGCGTCTTGCGTCTAGAAGCGAGTTGAATGTATAGGGAAGACTGGTGGTTTGCGGGTCTTTTGTTACAAGATACACGTATAAAGGCACGGGCCCGAACATGGCTGATTGAATGCTTAATCGGACATAGGCGTCGACCAGGGCGTTGTAGGCGAAATCTTCTTCGGGAGACAAAACGGTCGGAACCATGGATGACGGTGGACGTGGCGCGGATATATCGAGAAGGAGCTTTATCCCATATTGGAGATGTGCATTCCCCACTGTATACTGCCCGCGCATGTATTCTAGGGTGATAAAGAGCATACACGTAATCAGCGCTACTCGGAGAGAATAGCTATTGTCGGTTGCATTGTTGCGTAGGTGTTGAATTGCCTTGTTATATTGCTGAAGAGTGAAACACTCTTCGTCATATTTATCTGGCGCGGCGGCGAATCGCTGTTGGAAACGATGCGCAGACGACAAGGCAATGACAGCGTGACGCACGGCGGGTTCCTGCCCGCTAGCTTGAAAAACCAAGGTCTCCCAGAAGTCAGATGGGAATAAACCGGCGAACTTCTTTGCTGTTCGTTGAATCAGCCAGTCAAAGCACAGCTGTTCCTCGTGGCTGAGGTTGCCGGCTGGGACTGGTGTGCAGTAGGTTGATAGAGTTCGGTTGCTCTGTGGCTGCCCGTAAGGACTTCCACCTCCTCCCCATATACCATAGCCGTCGCAGACCCGACTAGTCGATACACATCGTCGGCAAGCTGGTCGGCCTTCGTCACATTTGACCCGGCGGATTCTTGATCCGGTTAAGAGAGTGCTAGAATGAGGATGGACATATACTTACTTGCAAGTCTTGCAGCCTGTTTTGGCCTTTTTACGGGCTAATGGGACACACTCATGCATATCTATAGTTAGTTGAGGAAGGAATAAAGGAACTAATCTCAAGACTCAATGGATTTCCATATCCTTGCGACCTTGGGTGGAGCTATCTCGGAGTTAATCTTTAACGACGCCAATATATGATTGGTTCGCTCGCTTTTAAGTAGCCTTGATTGGTTGAAGTCTATATCCATTTATCATGCATCATAGCATCATAGCCATATTAAGTATAGAACTTGATAGAGCGTCTCTATATCATTAGCATATCTTTGAATTTGTTGATGTTGTATAGATAGCAGCCACCAGCAGGTCAACCTAGAAATCAGAAGGTTAGCTTCTCCTTGGTGTTTTGATATAGTTCAGAGTTTGAAAGTAAAAAAGCGCCAAAATGCTTGCTTCCTCTGGTACAGAGTACCTCTAGTACTAATGTACTAATGTTTGGACGGCTGATCAAAGTCCTCAACACTACTATGTAGTCCATACTCCTCTACACTTCACTACACAGAATCAACCACGCGTTCAATAATAATATGTGATGTCCACTGTAATACAAGGCCACATACTATCAGATTGGCCCCTGTCTACCTATCAAATACGGTAACTACGCCACCTCCGCATTCTCGTAAAAATGAGGACCTGGGGGCTTCCCGAGGTCCCGGGTAAACGCCATCCTATTCCTAGGTACATTCCAGCGCAAAATAGTCCATCGACATTCACTTTGACATTGATCAAACCCGATTAATTATGAAATTCCCATGATCGCGCCCATACACATCGCACTCCTTCCCACGGTGTCAAATTCATCTGATCTACTGCCGTCTGGCCTGTCCCGCATGCCTTGCTCAAAGAGCCAATCTTGTCTTTTACGACGCAGAAGACCAAGTGCGAGGCGATGGTCACCGCGAAGTGAAGTCAACCGGATAATGCGAGCTTCGTTTTTTAGAGAGAGGTGATGTTGTCACAAGGGGCTTAGGGCTTTTGCGGACCGAGCGAAATCATTATGATCTGAAAATGATGCGAGGCTTGAAGAAGCCAGCACAAGAGGTCGGTGTTATGCCAAGTTATCTTTGCCGTGAAGAGGATCGGGCTTATGCTAGGAGCATACATGGGGAGGCTCAATCTTCCAGCACAGTCAGATCTGGTATGGGTGACGCAGTGATGTGACTGAATGCCGGCAGTAACGGCAGGGAGAGTCCCATGGCAGAGGTTCTAGACTTGAAATTCTTCCGGACTGGAGGAAGACTGGAATGATAAATCTAACGTATAACAGCTTCCGCCTCAGGTTGAAGTAAATCAAGAGGAAAATACAGTATCCGTACTCCGTATACAATATTATCATGACCCCTCGCATCAAGGAACACGACAAGTGGGTCACATCTAGTACGAATTGTTGATGTTGATCTTATTAAAATAAATTCCAACTATTACATTTGGCCCACTTGGCACCCCTTGGGGCCAGGACGGAAAAGCCTGCCAGCCTCCAATAAATTAGGAGCAACCCCGCCAAAGAAAAAAACCCCAAAACACGTCACTTCACGGTCCGTGTGCTCTCTTCTTCCCATATTAGATCTTCCCAATGAGGACATGTCCTCTCTCAGCAACTCCAGTCCAGGGAACTGGATCACTGGCAGTTATACAGGCGACAGTATTGGCGTCCGTATCACCATCGCAACATTCATCAGCGTCGCATGGTACAACGTGATTGAGCTAGTCGTGCTCATTTTCCTAACCTTCAAACGCTATGAAGGCGCCTATTTTTGGAGCATGCTGATAGCCAGCGTTGGAATCCTACCATATTCGGTCGGCTACCTGCTCAAATTCTTTAATCTGACATCTGCCACTTGGGTGCCCGTCACGCTCTTAACAGTCGGTTGGTGGGCCATGGTAACCGGCCAATCATTCGTGCTGTATTCGCGCCTCCATCTGGTGATTCAGAACATGCGCGTGCTGCGTATGGTGAAAACCATGATCATCACGAATATTTTCCTGCTGCACGTGCCCACAACCGTCCTCACGTACGCGGCCAACTTCTCCAGTTCTGCGGCCTCGGTTGCCGGGTACGATGTCATGGAGAAGTTGCAGCTGACGGGCTTCTGTGTGCAGGAGGTTATCATATCTGGGTTGTACATGTGGGAGACGAATCGCATGCTGCGCTTAAATCAGGACCATATCAGTCGTAAGACTATCCTGCAGCTGCTCGCCGTCAACGTATCTTGTATCCTGATGGATATCGCCTTGATGATTATCGAGTTTAGGAACTTCTATATCTATCAAACGACCCTCAAAGCCACACTTTACAGCATCAAGCTAAAACTCGAAATTGCGGTCCTCGGCAAACTGGTCAATATCGCTCACCAGCATATGTGGAGACCGTCGTCTTTCAACGCTGCCGGTGGGCAGTACCCATCTTTTGTTGACCCGTGCCATGCCTTGCACGATTTCAGCCATGCCGACTCTTCGGCTACCAGCTCGGCATCCAAAGGCCGTGCGTCTGGAACTGAGGCCATTGACAGCGACGTTAGATGAGCTTGCTTGTATTCATACTTCTATCAAATTCCTCCGCCATGCCAGATAGCCAACTTGAGATAAATCCACAGCAGTGCGATAATATCCATCTGTGGGTGAAGTGATCTCACTCATCCGTCTCCAACAATGACGCACCGACCAGAATTCGCTTTGCGGCTGTCGTTCAGGCTTTGGCTTCCAAGTTTAGGCATCGGAAAACAGCCATGGAATACCCTGCGCTGGCCCGCTTACATTGAGTCATTCCTCTGAAGTACCGAGAGCGAACAAATTGGCCGCATAGAAAGCGAATGTTCTTTGAGCATGCTAGGATTCTCCTCAAGCAAGCCCAGAAGAAACTAGTATTTATATTTCTCCGGTAGAGATAAACATATCGGAATACCATAGGCTGTGAGGCTACTTTTGAAACATGCCGAGCCTTCTGATAAGGTCTAATTTAATTTCTTCGACTCGGAAAAGTGCCCAATGAGTGTTGATGTATAGGGAGATATATCATAACATATGTAAAGCCAGTCGTCTTTCTATATGGGCGTAAGAAGGTTGCACCGCATAAACTCACAATAGGTTGGTTGACCTATGACTTTGCCGTCACAGAGCATTTGCTTTGTCAGGCGAGTGTGGACAACCATAGCGCCAATGAATATAAAGCAAGGCAATTTATAGTGGATTTTGATTCTTGACTTTGGACTTTGCATTCTCTTTTACGAAATTCGTGTTTGCAGACATAACCACATGCCATCTGCGAAAAAAGCCCTAAAAAAGAATAACACATCATTTTAGGCCGTGCAGTCAAATCAGCGGTATATTTCAACCAACATCGGCAGCCAGTCTTCGAGGCGAGTGATGCAATAACATTTCTCGCCCAAAATTAACAACCCCAGTCAGAAAGTCTAAAATTGACGTTTGTGACGCTTGCCGACCCGAGATGAAGCGCCTACAACCAACCGGCCCGGTGATATCGGGAGTGGGGAAGACTGATAGCGGATAAAGCACACACAAGACCGTTGAGCATTTGAAAGTGGAAGTAGAAAGAGAAAAGAAAGGGTATATTTATCTATGAATCTGTATCTGTATATATAAGGTCCTCAAGGCCCCTTCCGCCGACCACTAACTTGATCATGCAAGTAAAGCCGGCCCTCAGTATTGACGAACCCGCCAATTCCGAAAGCGGGGATAATGCGACACATGCGCAGCAGCGACGAGCTAATCCAGTCGCGACTGATACGGTTGATCCGCTCTTTGGTCGGCATTACCTGTGGCCGGTTGTAGAGATCCAGGCCGAGGAGGTGGATTGGCGTGCTGATAAGTTGGATGGACGCTGGAATCGCGAGCTGCGCGATCAAAATCTTGAGGTATTCTTGGGAGGCGATGGAGTCCGGAATGGAGGCCGAGACCATAGCAGGGAGACTGAAGGAGCCAAAGATTGTGAGGGCGTCCCGGACGAGGAAGGCTGAGTATGTTGCTACGGGAATTCTGGTACGGCCGATTGAGCGGGCCGTTTTAGGGGTTGAGCTTGTATTGGAGGTGGAGGTGGAGGTGGAGGTGGTAATTGGAGTCGTCCTTGGTGGGGTTGTGTTGTTTGTAACTGGTATAGAGGTGTTGCTGTGGCCGAATAATTGTGCGAACTTCACATCCTTCCAAATGCCCACAGAGGAGTTGACTATGAATGTTGCAGCGAAGGTGGTCATGCCTGAGATGGCATGGTCAATCTGAGGGTACCACTTGCTCAGAATTGTCTCTGAAGCATTGGCGGTGGCAAAGGTTGCCGTGTAAAGGGACCAGACGAGGAGACTGGGTCGTGATGTTAAGAAAGTTGCAGGTTGTGTGAGGGAAAACCAGAGGTGTCTGCGGAATGCCGGGAAAAGAGGTTGGTTATAGAATGATTTCTCGACAACGAGTCTGGGTTATATTGGTTAACGTACGTACGTTGATAAGATGGAGTCTAACTTGGCTTACCTATCAAAAATCATGACTGCTGGCGTAATCAGTGTTGCTGAACCTGCAGCAACGAGTACATCGGCCGCCAGTAGTTCTGCCATCCGGCTTCTAGTGTGCTGGATACGGAATGGCATAGCCTGCTCTTGGATTTGCTGCGTCATGGTTTATGATGTATGGTTTAAGCGGGCAATGCTATATCATCCGTTCGTGACCGTCTGGCAGTCTTGGGTTCGTGGTCTATAGACAGGACCGGGCAAGGTTTGGTAGAGCTGCAATCTAACTGGCCTGGCACTGTTAGACCGAATAAATCCAACGCGGGGCATTCCATGAGACAACTTACTGTGGGAAAACACTGATCAAGTAAACGAGTTAGGGTTGCGAGACTGCACTGGAAATGAAAGCAGGGGGAAGAAAAAAAGAGTGAACGGAAGAAGAAACCCCTCCATAGTTATATCCCCAGCACGTATTCTATAATGTAATGCCAACATCTTATCGAGAAATCAAGCATCAACATTTATAGATCGCCTGAAAAAGACAACGCCTCGGCCATCCGAACCAATCAC